GTTGATATTCTTCCACACCGGGTGAATCATTTTCCCTTATGTGTGGTGATTCTTTAGTTGAAATTCCATCTGTCGTGGCTGCATAACTTGACGGAGTAGATGGTAATGAGTGCCCAACAGACTCATTAATGTCAAAGTCAAATCCACTCCTCTTCTTCGGCTCTTTTTTCTTTTTTCCTTTTCCCACTTGTTCGGCACAATATGAATTCCATTTATTATTATGCTTCAAGATCTCCCAGCAACTTTTTAACTTAAATTCACCTCCTGTTTAGTTACGAAATAAGTCTTTAGTTGCTATTATCTACACGAAAAATATAACAAAAAATTTAAAGCCAACTATTTAAAATATTTACGAGTTATATTTAAATAACAAATGACTCACCATATTATCACTGCTGAAGCCGCTGGGATGATTCATTTCTATGATAGTCATGCAGTCGAAAAATTTGCTGATTTTTTGTTGAATCACCGACCAACAATTCATCAAACCTCCATCATTTCGCTCAGTTGGAACACCAATATGTTATTTATATTATTCCAGAATTCGCTCCCATAACTTCTTTTTACTTTGGTTTGCCCCCGTAATCGCATCAGATGTAATCGACATCCACGCCCAACATAAAGCCTCGTCTTCAGCCTTGGTCCAATTATTATGTCAGATAGCCGGTTGTTTTGACGGGGGTTTTGAGTTACTTGATTGTGGAACACTAGTACCACAATATTGATGAGAAGTTTAGGATGGTTGATAAGAAGGTTGGGATGGTTGATGAGAAGGAAATTGAGAATCTCCTCCATAAAAATTGATATTGTCTTCGGAAAATGGCAAAAACTCATCGTTTGATGGGTTGAATTGGGTGTTGTAATAAAATAGATGTCGAGGATCCATATAATCAAAATGATTTGAAAATAATAGCTAAGATTGAGAAAATAGAAGAATAAATAAGTTGAATGGTAGATAATAGAGATGTGATGAGTGATGGTAGGAGTTAGGGTATTTATAGAGATTTTAAAAATTTTAATTATTTTTTTTTTCTTTTGAACAAAGTTAAAAAAATTTGAATTTTTAAACTTTTTTTTTAAAAAATTATAGCCGTTAAGGCACTGTTTGGTACTGTAGATACAGTGCCTTAACGGCCAAATACACTATTTGGCCTACACATTTAAATTTTAAAGCAATTTTTTTTTTTTTTGAAAAAAAAACCAAATTTTAAGGGGGGAAAAAAAAAAGGTTTTTTAATTTATTTTTGGCCCAAAATTTTTTATTTTTTGGACAAACAATGCCTAAACAATATATTTTTTATTTAATGAATTTATTTTATTTTTTTCCCAAAAAAAGAGAGCTCTAAATAACCTATTTTTTGGCTATTGTACAGAGCCATTGCAAGAAGAGACAAAAGAGAGGCAACCAAACGGCGCCCTTTTGAAACCATAAAAACAAAAAAAAAATTACTGCAATTGCGGGCCGGCTCACTGAATACCGCAAGCCAGCCCGTGAGCCTATAATGGGCCCTACCAATTTGAAGAGGCCACTGCACGACCCAAAGCCTCTCTCTCGTGGAAATTGGGTTCCGCTAGTGGGCTGCGGATGCTGGGGCATACTTTATTTAAATTTTTGTGTAGCTAAAAATTTTGCCAACTTGAGTGTCAAATTAACTCGATTTACTTGTTTCTTGAAATTTACAAATTGTAAGGATTTCAAATCAATATATGCATTTTGCAAGAACTTAAGTCTAAATTAGTCGATCAAGTTTATTCTATAGTCCATCATGGAACATAAATTTATTGATTTTAAACCCTTCATTTCAGATAATGACAGAGAATTTAGAGGGCAAAAGTGCGTTTAAGAATGACAATAGAATGGTTACTGGCCCATTGGGAGTCTTGAACAAATTTGACAATGCTCGCTATTTTATTTATTTATTTATTTTCATTGACAAGAAACACAGTGTATTTAGTAACTTCATTTTCGTTTTATGTTTTTATTGTCTTAAGAAAACAGAAACATGATTTTGCTTTCTTGAGTAAAAATAGAAAATATAAATGATGTTTATTAACACTTATTGTTGCCATAAATTTGATAACTTAAAACAATAACAGTGTTTTATACATATTTGTTACAAAATAAACATAATATTCTTTAAATTTTTTATTTTATTTTTTTCATTACAATAATTTTAGGAGTTAGTGATTAGAGGGGAGGGGGAGGGAGATAACTTGAACACGGACTCTCAGACATAGGTCTAACCACTCAGACACAACACTTGCTTCCATTAGTATCAAAAAATCATAAATCTACAAAATTCAATTTAAAATTAAGTCTTATAATACCCAATACATCATGAGTATAAAATTAGACATACCAAGACAAAAACACTCCCACCAATTATGTATATAAAATACTTCTATATGCATGATGTATATATTTATTATGTGATATATAATATATTTAGTATATGGTAATTTATTATGAATAAAAAATGTTAAATAATATATCTTATATGTAATAAAATATATATTGTGTTATATAATATTGTAAATTAATTATAATTTAATATTTACACATAATATAATATAGATATAGTATATAATAATATAAAATATCTACTACATAATAATTTAATAACATTATATTCTATATCAAAAATTATTTTGTCACAAAAAATAATTTACATTATTATTTAATATATTATATATTAAAATATATTTTTATCAAATAAAAAATAATGTACACCATTTAATATATTCTATATTAAAAATATATCTTTTTATTAACAATCAAAATGCAACTTAGTATATAACACAAATAATATGAATTTTATTTTAAATGAATAGTGTCCGTGTAGTAACAATAGTTAAAACATTTACGTGCTACAATGCCGAAAACATAAAAAATATCTTTTTTATGTAAAATTAAAAATATTTTCTGTTATAAAAAAACAAAAACATATTATTATCGCACTATTTTTTGCACTATTTTTTGCCCTTGGAAAACTGAACCTAAAAGAGGTGATTCCACTATGGCCTTGGTAATTTGACAATGCCGAACAATGATTAATAGCGCACAGTAATTGTTAGCCATTCCAAGATCACATCAATTCAATTCCTGCATATTATATATTCCGGAATCGAATTGTGACATTGACATGCCCGAATCCACCCCAACTCCGCTGCAGGACACCCCAAGAAAAATGATTTTCCAAAAGTGCCCCGGTGACATCCCTGCACATGAATAGTAGTTGAGGCTGTCCCGCTTGTTTCAAATCCTATCAAATTCCAAAAGATCCACCAAAACAGATTGAAACACTAGGGCAATGCCATGTATGTTTGGTAAACATGATATTGGAGGAAAATAATTTGAATTTCCCTCTAATTTCAAGGCATCAATTCTGTACTTCCGAACAAAACGCATCATAATAGGACTTTCACTCCCATTTCTAATAGAGAATAAATTCCATAGTTTTGATCCTTACACAAGAAACATTGGACTCACACTCCAATTTTAATACACAATAAATTATGTGGTTTTGATCCTCAAATGACAAAAGACACTATCGAATGTACTGAACAAATTTCATCAATTTTCGACGGACAATTCATCAATTAGGTTATCATTATTCTAGCATTTAGGATACGTGTGTGTTAGCACTGCATATGATTTGTCACTTCTTTTGAATCAAAGTGCTCTTTTGACACTTTTGTTGGTTTCTAGAAGTAAATTAGTGGTTTCTTCATTATTTGTGTTTTGCATTTATGTGATTTGTAGAAAATCACGTAAGTCATTCTTGGTTTTCTGCAGAAGGTTATTTGTTTGTTTTAGTGACATATTTACGTGCAAGTAGAGATTTTGCTACTTGCTTATTGCTCAAGTGTTGTGGAATTTGCTATTGTAGTGATTATGGGTTTAGGGTAGGATATAATATTGTGTGTGTTCTCTATTGGTGTTATATATTTCAACTACCATTACTACTCAGATATTTGCTGTCCATGGGTCAATCCATCCCATGGAAGTCTACTCAAAGGGACAGATTGAACCATGGGACAGCAAATGTCTAAGCGGTAATGATAAGTGAAAACCCCAAATATAACACTAATAAAGAGCACAAACAATATCAAATAACATTCTACCCTAAACCCAGAATCACCGACAATAGCATATTCCGCAAAACATCGAGCCATGAGCAAGTAGCAAACTTGCCAGTAAATATATCTCTAAAAAAAATAAATAACCTTCCGCAAACTTAACAAAAAAAAAATAAAAAAAACCTTCCGCAAAAAACCAAGAATAACACCATTCTATATAGAAATCTATATTAATATATTATTTATATTAAATAATAAATAAAAATAGAAATAGTTAGAATGATAGGATTCGTTCAGGGAGTGATTTGTCCATCATAAAAGAAAAAGAGAAAAAGGGGGTTAAGTTCCATTTCTCCCACTTTCGTTCATTGGTTGAGTCATTGTTAAAATGAGACATGCCTATCTCTATCTCACACTAAGCCAGGAAATTAATAAAAAATAAATTAGGGAAGAATCTCTTCATCAACTCCCATGATGTTTTACAAATCACATAAATGTAAAATGCATTTAATGAAGAAACCACTACCTCTAGAAACCAACTCTAAAGTTTCAAAGTGTCAAAAATGTAATCAAGTGTACTTCGATTCTTGTTAGGAAAGAAGTGTCAAACCAAAAATACACAACAACCTAAATGCTAAAATTATGACAACCTAAAAACATGCAATAACTAGTAATAGCTCGATGTAAAAAAATGCATTAGAAGCTTGACATGCGCTTAATTTCAAGCAAACACATGATACACACAAGCATATCAATAATGAAATGTGCAATCTAATTCAGCTTTTAAACCATATATAAAAAAAAAAAAAAAATGAAAATTGAAATTAAAATAAACAGCATGAACTAAACCGTATTGCCGAAATTTTAAAAAACCCATAAAGGTCATGGATTTGAATGGTAAAGTAACATATAAGAGTACATTATCTTGAAATAAATCAACCAAAGCAATAAATATTCAAACTTTTAACTTCTGGATTCAAGACATTTAATAATTCAAAGGGTCAAAACTCAAAAGCATACTAATATCCATCTATCATCCAAAAAGACATATTAATAGGCAAAATCAACTGTTGAGGTCTCAGAAAAACCTCTCAAACACCACACCCTGGTCCTTAATAAGTAATCAAAACAAAAAGATAAGAGAATTTGAGAGCATAACTGATAGTATAACTCTTAACGGTACGATTTCTGGAACCTGGCACGAGCACCACGACCACCGAATTTCTTGGGCTCGCAGCGTCTGGGGTCGGCGACAAGGAGGGTCCGGTCGTACCTGACGAGGATGTCCTTGATCTCCTTCTTGGACTGCTCGTCGACGTACTTCTGGTAGAAGGCGACGAGGGCTTTGGCGATGCTCTGGCGGATGGCGTAGATCTGGGAGGTGTGGCCACCGCCCTTGACGCGGATGCGCATGTCGACGCCGGCGAAGCGGTGGCGGCCGAGGAGGAGGATCGGCTCGTACGCCTTGTACCGGAGGATCTCCGGCTCCACCAGCTCGATGGGGCAGCCGTTGATCTTGATCAGTCCCCTGCCTTTCTTGCAGTAGGTCACCGCCACTGCAGTCTTCTTGCGGCCGAAGCACTGTACGGACTGGATCGGAGCGGCCATTTTTTACTGTTTTGGCCGTCTACAGCGGAGGAGTGGTCGCAGAAGAGGGTTTCAGAAAAAATTATACGGGGGCGGAGAGTGAGTGGGAGAGATTTATCGAGGTTGTGTTAGGGTTTTTGGAGACTAGCGAAATCACGTAAATGCCCTGGTAATTAGTGTAATTACAAAAGTACAACTGTTTGATTGGTCACTGGTCAAAAACTCATAAGTAGGGTGCAGTCAAATGTGAGGGATTTTTATTTTTATTTTTATTTTTTATTTTTTATTTTTTATTTTTTATTATTATGATTAGGATTAATAATCTCCGGACCATTCAAAAATATTTTTTTTTTCTTCATTTTGAGAGAGACGAATATTAAAAAAAATTAAAAATTACATGAAATACTATATATGAGTTGTAAAATAGTATGCATTGGATTTATTTGTTTGTTTATTTTACTTTCTAATTAATTTTAATGCTTGCAAGTGTTGTATAAAATCTCACTTGAGCAGCCATTTGAGTTAGGGACAATTGTAGATGCTTAACACGTTGGATAATTATTTGGTTTCGTCGTGCTATTGTATTGAATAATTCGTTGCTTTTTCAAATCGAAATGACAAACAACAGAAGAAATCCTCACCATTTCTATCTCTACGACCACCACCCTCTTAACTGACCATCACGTATTAGGATTGTTAATGAGTCGACTTTAAATTATTTAGTAACAAAATTTATCCTTAGGTGAATTTGAATTTTTGTTTAAGATTGTTTTGACTCGTTCATAAATTTATAGGCTACTAGTAACGCAAGTCCTATATATTCATGAGCTTAAAAGTTTATGAACCTATATGTTCATAATCGTACAAGAATCTAGACAAGTTCATGTTCACGAATTTAGACGAGTCAAGCGCAATACTCTCGTAATCGATTCGTTTACTAAACGAGTCCAAAAACCAAAACTTAGACTAGCCGAATCTTAATTGTTTACCCGGTTCATTTGTAACCAACCCTCTAGACTCTGTGAACCCTCCGTTCTCATTGATTTCTCTGTAAAAGAAAGCGACATATTGAAACCTCACCAACACTTCTCTCTCTAAATCCCCTTGTTCTCCATTGTTCACTTTAAAATGATAATAGATACCTATTGTTTTCCTTCTCTTTTGTTTTTGTTTTTGTTTTTATTTTTATTTTTTGTATTAAATACTTATAAAATTTTAAAAATGACTCCACTCAAATTACAAAAAAAGAAAAACCCACTATTGCCCCCATAACATTCTTTATCTTGTTGTTCTGGTCTGCTTAACACACACACACACACACACATACACACACGTTCTGAACCTTCTCTCAAGTCATCACCCTCTTTCGTAGAACCTTCTCTCAACTCCTCACCCTCTTTCTCTAACACTGCAAGAAAAATGCGCCATTTATATTTGAATTCTAACTTAATCTCATCATTTTCGATCGATTTATATTTAAATGTCACTTAAATTGTTTCTTGAATTATGTTTTAAATTTATTTATAAATTTTCTTGTTCTTTGAACTCAAAGTTTGTTAAATCAAAAATACCTTCCAATAAAGAAAAAGAAAAAAATTGTCAAATCAAATATATATATATATATATATATATATATATATATATATATATATTCAGTGGCGTTCAAATTGCTCCCTGGTGAGCATGGAGTAGTATACTCACTTTTAATCCTGACCTTAGAATATTACGGTAATTAATTAATCAGTGTTTCCTTTTTATATTTAAGGCAATTGTTTTTATTTTTATTTTTTATTTTTATTTTTTTTTATTACCCTTATATATTATTAATAGGAAATGACAAAACTAGACATGTTTTTAATGAAAACAAATTAAAACCAAATTGGTTAGGATTTTTTTTTATACGAATTCATTTCCATCCGAATTCTTAAAGCATACGAATTAAAAATAATAAAAAAATTTAATTATTTTCAATTCCTTCCACGATAGAAGGTTAAAATATAGAAGGCAACCACTAAAAAAAATAAAAAAAAATGAAAATTTCAACCCCATTAACTTTATATTGTGACGGCGCATTCCATCTCCATCACCACCACCTACCCCGCTACTGTCGCCACCTTCACCACGGCCACCACCTACCCCGCCACTGCCGCCACCTTCACCACCACCACCACTTACCCCGCCACTGCCACCACCTACCCCTCCACTGTTGTAGCCACCACCACCTACCCCGCCACTGCTGTCGCCGCCACCACCTACTTCGCCACTGCCGCTACCTCCATCACCGGCGCCTACCCCGCCATTGCCGCCACCACCTACCCCGCCACTGCCACCGCCAGGTGGTGGAGGTGGCGGCAGTGGCGGGGTAGGTGGTGACGGTGGAGGTGGTGGTGGCGGCGGTGATGATGGAGGTGGTCCATTCCCTTTTTCTTTCATGTTTTATATATTGGGTTACATGATTTGATAATTTTGTTTGTCTTTGAATTATTTTTTATGCACACATATACAAAAAAACATATTTTGAGAGTTTAGTAAGCAGTTGTTTCATAGATATAAATTAAATGCAAGGTTGAGAAGGAGACGATTGTGTGTTAATTTTTCAACGGGTATGCTTTGAGAATTCCCTGGCTGAACGGATAGGAACAAAGGGAATTGGAAATTATTAATTTTTTATTTTTAATTGGTATGCTTTGAGAATTCGGATGGGAAGGAATTTGTATAAAAGAAAATCCTCAACATGTCTAGTTTTGTCATTTCCTATTAATATTATATAATGGTAATAAAAAAAAAAGCAATTGCCTTAAATATAAAAAGGAAACACTAATTAATTAATTACCGTACGATTATATTCTAAGGTCAAGATTAAAAGTGAGTATATTATTCTATACTCATGATGGAGCCATTAACCGCCACTATATATTCTAAGGTCAAGATTAAAAGTGGGTATATTATTCTATACTCATGATGGAGCCATTAACCGCCACTATATATATATATATAGATATTTTAATTTCTAGATCATGGATAAGTTTCCTAGCTCTATGTGACTTTTCAAGTTGCAACAATCTTGGAAGAGAAGCAATGCATTCAACAATCTTGGAAGAGAAGCAAAGCCTGAATGCAAGGTAAGAGACAAGTGTTTTACATTATGAAATTTAGTTTTTAAAGACCGCTAGAGATAAAAGCACAACTATTTCAAAGAATCCAGATTGAATCTTGAGATATTATTTAAAGTCTTATTGAATCAAAGACTAGATATTTTTTAAATTGACATGTGAAAAATGTGTATAAAATATATAAATCTAGAATATGAGAAATAATAATCAAATCAATTGTAACACTAGAACATTTTAGATAAATTAAAGACGCCAAAGTGCCCTATAAATACTCCTAGCAATTACTAATCAAATAGACATGCATTAATGTTTTGACTTGTGACCTTCTAACGGAGTTAAAAGACTTTTTAGAGAAGTACGGTATATATAAGCTTAAAAATCTGTAAAAATAAAAATATCTGCGAATTCATCACTGCTAGTTGTCGGCCAAGCATGAACTCCAAAAGTTTTAGAAAATTATGTTTACACCATCATAAAATTTATGAAATTATGTATAACAGGGATTAAATTTTAACAATTGGCCCCCAAAATAAAATTTTGAAATTTTAAAGCACAAAACTCCCCAAAACCAAAATCTCTTCAAAATCTTCTTTTAACAGTTTCATGTTACATGTTTAACATTTTATGGTCATTTTTCTAACAATTAACACTACTTTGCTTTCTTCTCCTCAACTATTTGAGTAATATTTTTTATAACACAAGTGTACCTACTAATTTTAAAAATAATATGAATATTATCGTAACAAAGTAGTGAAATACTAATATATATAATATAAAAATTATTACAATAATAATATAATATCATTTTCTAATTCATTTCAGAACAACTCTTAGTATAGAATTATAAATGAATTAAAATTTTATAATACTATTACTGAATATATGTATAAAAATAAAAAATTATAATTATATGTAGATGTGTCTATGCCGTATTCGTGTCCTACTTTTTAAAACGTGTATGTGCTACATAGCTCTCCATCATTCACTTTAGAATCAGGCATGACCCTACTTCATGATTGCCCCTGTAAAATAAAAAATAAAAAAGGTAATATATACCTATTATTTTCCTTCTCTTTTCTTTTTTCTTTTTCTTTTTTGTATTAAATACTCATAATTTTAAAACTGACCCCACTCAAATTACAAAAAAAGAAGAAAAACCCACTATTGCCCCCAAAACATTCTTTATCTCGTTGTTCTGATTTGCTTAACCAAAAAAAAAAAAAAAAAAAAATTGGCGTCATTTTCTTGAACTCAATCTTCTTCTCTCTCAACTCCTCACCCTCTTTCTCCAACACTGCAAGAAAAATGCAGTATTTATACGTGAATCCTAACTCAATCTCATCATTTTCGATTTATATTTAAATGTAAGAGTGGATTCAGAACTTGTTAATAGGGTGAACTAATAATTTTTTAGATGGACTAACACTGGTAATATATTTTTTTTGGGCTGGGCCAAAATTACCCATAATAAAAAATAAAAAAAATTTGAGGTAGGCTTGAGCCCACCAAAGCATATACTTAGATCCACCCTTGTAAATGTCATTGTTTCTTGAATTATGTTTTAAATTTATTTATAAATTTTCTTGTTCTTTGAACTCAAAGTTTGTTAAATCAAATATTGTTTTTTTCTTTTTAATTTCTAGATCATGGATAAGTTTCCTAGCTACTGCAACAATCTTGGAAGGGAAGCAAAGCCTGAATGCAAGGAATGAGACAAGTTGACTTGACAAACTTTAAGAAGGCTTTAGAGGATGAAATTTAGTGTTTAAAGACCCCTAGAGATGAAATCACAACTATTTGAAAGAATCCAGAGTGAATCTTGAGATATTACTTAAAGTCCTTATTGAATCAAAGACTATATATTTTTTAAATTGACATGTGAAAAATGTGTATAAAATATATAAGATCTAGAATATGAGAAATAATAATCAATTGTAACAATAGAACATTTTAGAGAAATTAAAGACGTCAAAGTGGCCTATAAATACTTCTAGCA